TGTGATGTTTGTCACATTGCAAAACAAAGAAAATTAAGTTTCCCCTTGAGCTTTTCTTTTAGCACTACTGTTTTTGAACTAATTCATGCTGATATTTAGGGTCCAGTATCTGTAAAATCCATACATGGGCATTCTTATTTCCTTACCATAGTAGATGACTACTCTAGACACACTTGGATTTATTTGCTGAAAAATAAGGCATAAGTTTGACCACTAATTGAGGCTTTTTGTGCTTTAGTAGAAAACCAATTTCAGACCACGGTCAAAATTGTTAGAACTGACAATGGTAAGGAGTTTGAATTTAAAAGTTTTTATGATTTGAAGGGCATAATTCACCGAACGAGTTGTGTGGAAATCCCTCAACAAAACTCTGTGGTTGAAAGAAAACACCAACATATTCTGAATGTTGCTAGAGCTTTATTATTTCAAAGCAAACCTTCCCAAAGTTTTTGTCTTATGCAGTGATGCACTCTGTCTATCTCATTAATAGAATACCCACACCTATACTGGAAAATAGATGTCCATATCAGTTTTTGTACAAGTATCTCCCTTACTTGACCCAACTTAAGGTCTTTGGTTCATTATGTTTCTCATCCACACTTGTTAGTCATAGAACCAAATTTGACCCCAGAGCCAAGAGGTGCATCTTTCTGGGATATAAAAAAGGCACAAAAGGCTATGTTGTCTATGATCTCAAGACTAAGGAATTGCTAGTGTCCCGAAATGTCATCTTTCATGAGAACATTTTTCCATATCAACCGATGCTATTTGCCAACACCACTCCCAATTCCAGTATTCCCTTACCAACTTTCATGCCCATTGAGCCTTTTGACTACACCTCACTAGAAGCTGATCCTAAAACACCACAAAATCCTCTTTCCAACAACCATCCATTGGACTCAATAACCACCACACACGATACTATGCCACAATGTTCCAACAAGAGAATCAAAAGACCTCTTTCATATTTATAGGACTATCACTAGAATTTGGTTGTCTCCACTACTGTGCCACATCAATCTTCAAGCAATGATAATCTCTATCCTCTTTCCCAAGTACTTTCATATGATTCTTTGACACCATCATATTGGTCCTTTGTTATGAACATCACAATCGCAGCTGAACCCACTAGATATTTTGAAGTGGTGAAATATGAATGCTGGAGGACAGCCATGAATCAAGAACTGGAGGCATTGGAAAGAAACAACACTTGGGTCTTGGTTGATAGACCCCCTGACAAAAATCTCATTGGTTGCAAATGGATCTATAAAGTAAAGCACAAGCAAAACAAGACGGTAGAGCGTTACAAGGTAAGGTTGGTTGTGAAAGGCTACACTCAAGTGGAAGATATTGATTTCATGGATACCTTTCCCCTGTAGCAAAGATGATCACTCTAAGGGTTGTATTGGCATTGGCCTCCTCTGAAAATTGGTTTGTACACCAATTGGATGTAGATAATGCCTTCTTGCATGCAAATTTAGAGGAAGGAATCTATATGATTCCACCCCAAGGCCTACCAACTCCTAAGCCCAACCAGGTCTGTTTATTGAAGAAATCTCTCTACGGGTTGAAGCAGGCTAGTCGTCAATGGTTCAACACTATCTCAAGTGCTTTGCTGGCCCTTGGCTACTCTCAGAGCCAAGCTTATCACACTTTGTATACCAAAAGGATGCATAAATCATTCACAGTTTTACTATTGTATGTTGATGATGTGCTACTAGCATGATTCTTCTTGGGATTGCTCAGTCATCTCAAGGCATAGCAGTCAACCAACGCAAATACGCCCCTGAACTCCTGTCAGACTCTAGTCTTCTCAGCTGCAAGGCAACAACCACACCTATGGATGGATCAATCAAGCTTGAAGCTACCATTGGTGAACCACACTCGAACATCAGCTCTTATAGAAGATTGATAGGAAGACTTCTTTATCTTACCACAATGAGGCCTGACATTGCCTTCATAGTAAATCAGCTAAGTCAATTCTTATCTGCTCCCATGGATCTACATCAACAGGTTGCTCATAGAGTTCTTCACTATATCAAAGGGTTGCCTGGATGCGGCCTCTTTTATCCATCCTCAAATGCTCAAAAGGTGACAACATACAGTGATTTCGATTGGGCCGGGTGCATTGATTCAAGGAGATCAATTACTGAATACTGTGTGTACATTGGCTCCTCTTTGATATCTTGGTGATCCAAGAAGCAAACCACCACCGCAAGATCCTCTTGTGAAGCAGAATATCGGGCACTTGCATCAATAGTGTGCGAAATACAATGGCTTGTCTACCTGCTACATGCTCTGCAGGTCACTGAGTTATCTCCTGTATCTCTCTTCTGCGACAATCGTTCAGCCATACACATCGCTCGTAATCCCAACTTCCACGAGCGTACCAAACATATCGAGTTAGATTGCCACATTGTTCACAAGAAGCTGAACCAAGGCCTCATTCATCTCTTGCCTGTCCCCTTAGCTCAACAATTGGCGGACATATACACCAAGCCCCTGACACTCGCACTGTTTAAGTCTATAATATCCAAACTGGGAATAATCAACATACATTCTCCAGTTTGAGGGGGACTAATACATTGTGATCATAATTAACCAATATTAGCCTAGCACCGTTCACGGTACCAGATTCCCGCATATCCATAGTTGGCACCTGCTACGATTATACATGCTTAAGTTTAGTTTATGGTTATTTTGTTTCCTTAACTTTAGCCTGTCATCTTCCTTAACTTTAGCTTTGTTTGTTTCCATTCCGTTTCACGTCTCTTGTATATATATTTGTAATCCACGACTTGGTTCAATATGAGATACAAATACATTATTCTGTGATCTTTTGTTTTATTAATGTGCAAGTGCTAATATTTAGTGCTGTGACACATAATTATTAGATTAGGGGTGTAATACATATTATCTTCCTATATTTGTCGCACATACCTATTTTGCTCAACACCATAGTTTGTGACATGCATCATTTTTTAAGTGTGTTACATTTTCCTTGGTCGTTTGGTTGAAGCATGAGTATTCTTTTCATTATGTTTTGAAGCCAAAGAAAACTACAGATGTTTCAAGGATTACAAAGTAAAAGTTTGGGTTTGTGGACTTAAGAAGCACATGCTTCTTTCTATCTCCATTGCACTTAGCCATGGTAAACCCATTTTGGGTTCTATCTTCTCTTCTACTCTAGTGCTCCCTTTTCCTTTTTTTGAGGGGCATCATTGTTAGGAGTGACCTGAAGTGACATCTCTTCTTTTTCCAAAAGCTCTCCCTTCTCATCCCTTTCACCTTGGAGTTGCTTCCATGTTCTGTCTGACACAATATGCATTCCATTAATAGTTTTATTCAGCAATTAACAGGCTGCACTGAAAACCACCTCACCTTACTTAATTCGTTTGGCAATTTATTTATCTTCTCTAAGCGTTTTTTATTTCTGTTTCATCAGCATCCTTATCACTTAATAATAATGTGTTTCCTATTTCTTTCTGAATTACTTTTTTTTTTCTATTTTACCCTTACCTTATTATTCAGTTCCGCCATACTATTTTAGTAATATGTTTGTAGTTTAACTTATTTTAATTTTACCTAATAATATTAAAAAGATAATCTCATGTTTGCAACACATTTTCCTGACAAGATTTTCTCTCCTGGTTCATTTGCCATATTTCTTAGACAACTAATTTTGTACTAGTTTAGATCTTGACATGGTCTACCACACTGGTCCAACTTGCATATGCTCTAAATATCTCTTCTTTAAGTAATTATAGTTTCAAATAATTTTATTAATAGTTAATTATTATTAATTCTGGTAAAGATCGTATCTTTTTTAAAAGCTAAAATAATTTGTGTAACGATTAAAATAAATTGTTATGTGAAAAAAAACTCTAAAATAAGAAAAGGGAAATAATAGCTAAATTAATTTACCTTTATTCCTTTGTCCATATTTGTAATCTTGAATTACAATAATCAATGTTACGATAAAATAATCATTCAGCATTGGAAAATTAACATTGGCGTCAGCATTGATCGATCTTCCATCATTGTAATGACTTTTTTTAGTTTGTCGGTTTGGTTGATGTTTCTTTTTAAATTGTATATAGGAATATTTTTTTTTTAAAACAAAAACTTTCAATTCAAGTGACCTTTTAAGTCAGTCAAATATCAAAAGTTCTTAACCTCAAACTCAAAATTACATCAAGTTTTTTTTTATTTTATTATTAAAAGTCAATATCTTATTATAAAGATTTTTAGTACAAAACTTCAGAACTTAAGTATTTTTGTACAACTTTTTTTAAGCTTAACTACAAGTTAAATATTTTTTCTAAATCTCTTCAGCACCACGCTCCTTCCTACAAAGAACACAAAACGATAAAATTTACGACATCCCAACATTCAAAAGTTTTACAAAGTAAGCTTAGTGATAGCAAGATAAACAAAGCTATCTAAAGAGTGTTAATGAGTTAGCTCTGTGCATTCTTCAAAAGTTCTTGTTACTTATTTATTCCGAAAAGATGCCTTATAATTTATGCATTTTTGCTACATATATCTTTTTGGTAACAACCTTATTTCTATTTCTCTCTTTTGTCAACAAAGCCCCGTTCATAATTCTTATATCTTTGGTTTGGAGATTGATATTTGTATTTTTTTTATATACACTATTTTATATTATAATTTTTAAGGTTAATTTTTGAAAGTTTATTTATGCATTTTCAAAACTAGTGCAAATAGAGAAGAAAAGTACAAATAACAATCTCGAAATAAAATTGTTTTAGAAATAATATATAAATGGCTTTAGAATTGAATTTTTGAAAGGTATAAATTGATTCTAAGAAAGTGTTAAACACATTTTAAAAATAAAAAATGAAAGGTTAAAAAAAGTGGCGTGAATAGAAAAAAAGTTGGTACAAATAGTAATTTAGTTTTGTTTCTACTCCCGGGCCAAGTCCAGCAACAGCCCAAGGAGTGTTTCTTTTAAGTGGGCAGATAAGCCCAAATACAAGCATTAAAGCGTAAGAACAAATTTTTACACCCAGCGATTTTCCTTCAGATCATCCAGAATCCTCGAGATATTTCCCTCTTCTTCACCACGCACTCTTGTCTCTGTAACTGTAAGCATCCATGGCCAAAAGCTTCTCCGATTCTCCCTATTTTTTTCTCTGATTTAATTTCCTAGGGTTTTCTCACGCGAGTTTTTCAATATTTTGTTCATTCGAGTGCTGGATACTTTAACTAGTTGCATTTTTTCCGTATATTTATTCATTTTCGGAGTGATCTTTATTTTAATTTCATAAAGATTTGTACAGTGGTGATTCTGGTTCTGGAAAATGTCTCGCGTTTACGTTGGAAATTTAGACCCTCGAGTCACTGAGAGGGATCTCGAAGATGAATTTCGTTTTTACGGTGTTCTTCGGAGGTATTACTCTTCAATATGTTCTCTCTCTCTCTCTCTCTCTCAAATAACTGAAATTGATTGAAGTTTTCAGTTTAGGATGATTAAATTAAACTCACTGTTAAAATTGGAGAAGGGTCCTCTCATCTTACACTAAATTTTCATGTTCGTGAAGTCATGACCCTTCATTTTTATTAACCTTAAATCAACGGTGAAAATTATAACATTTTTTCTCTCAAACTTCAAAACCCGCCATTTTGTTGCCTCACTCTGTATTTTCCTTTTTGGTGTTTAGCATATGTTGAATTTTGTTTGTGATAGTATTTTTCATTACTTGTTGTGTTCAGTGTATGCTTTGTAAGATACAACTCTTATATTGTTTAATATTTGATTATGAATGCAGCGTCTGGGTTGCTCGTAGACCCCCAGGATATGCATTTATTGAGTTTGATGATCGGAGGGATGCACTTGATGCAATTCATGCATTGGATGGTCAGTATGCGGTCATGCATTATCAAACTTTCATTATTGGTCCTTGTCCTCCACTGTCCACCCTTGCACTTTTTTATTTTAGTTTATTTCTTTGCATTATGCATACTAAATTTTGGATTAGCATTAATGTTGGAATGTCATATAGGAAAAAATGGCTGGCGCGTAGAGCTTTCTCATAATTCTAAGGGTGGTGGTGGCCGAGGTGGGCGTGGCCGTGGAGGTGAGGACTTAAAATGCTATGAATGTGGTGAGCCTGGACACTTTGCTCGAGAGTGTCGTTTGCGTATTGGTTCACGTGGCTTGGGAAGTGGAAGGAGGCGAAGTCCAAGCCCTTATCGGCGTCGTAGAAGTCCAAGTTATGGGTATGGCCGCAGGTATGTTTTTTATATGCACATGCTATATATGAATTAAAAACAGTATACATTTCCAATATCTAAGCCTTTTTACCTTGCCTTGTGTTTACATTTTGGATTGAATGCCAGAGTGTAGAAATACAAATATGTTTGATACTTTGATTACAGAGGATGAAGTATGAACAATTAAAACTCCTAATTGCTAGGCAATATAAATCAATGATATTACTGTGACAGAAATTTGTCTATGAATTATTTGCATGACTTATAACTGGCCTAAACTAGCTTCAAGTTCGAAGAATCAAATGGCATGCAGCATATCATGTTTATTTTTAAATTGTCATGTTTAGCCTCTGTTCATTAAAATATTTGATGTCTTTTGTGTGGTGCTTGTGTTCTTTTAACACATTAAGTGGAGAACCACCCTTTTTACTCCTTATCATTTTTTTCTTGTTTTACCTTTTATTCCTTGTTAATTTTCTAGATTTTTTGTACTCTGTACTGTGGGCTTTGTTTAAATGGGGATTTATACTCATTCTATTTGTACTTGTACTGCTTTGCGGATTATTTAGCTGACTTAATTCTATTTGCCTGGGGAAATCTTGTTGCCATAGGTCTGTAGTGTATTATTGTTAGTCTATCATGGTATTCAGACTGAAAAGAATATTCATAGGCTTAAATAAATACAAACTAGATTTACCAGAGATCTCAATCTGAGTATGGTGACAGCTGGTCAAATTGACCTTCATAGCATATGAAATTCCAGTTTACATTTTCGAAATGCATTATGTGACACCCGTTCACTAAAGTGACTCAGTTAACTGATTAATTTTTTATTAGTAATAAATGAGTAACTGAGTTCAAATACTGATAATTCCAGAAATAGGTTGACACCATGAAAATAAAACACTTATTACTGTTTGCGCACGCGCACACACAATAACTAGTTCAAGTTCATTAAAAGATTCTGTACCAGCCAGAAATAACTATAATCCCAAATATAATTTTAGGTATAAAAATTACTGGATATACTATTACTACTTGAGCAGCATGAATGACTAAATACAATTAAGCCTACAAAGCACCTCATCCCATTCCCCTAAACTTCTAAAATGACTCCTAATGTTGCCCACCAATAGTAGGTTGGAACTGACCTTCCTCATCGGCCCATCCTTGGAGTCATCCTCTCCATCTACCTGTCCTGAAGGTCCAGGAGGGGCTGGTGGACAAGAAGGTCTGCTCTGAAATAAGGATTGTTACTGAGGGGCAGTCATCCTCCTCCGGATGGAGAAAAGGAGTCTCAGAGATTGCTTGAAAGCCTTTCGATGAGGATTGAGTGTCAGATGAAGAAGAGTGTTAGGAAGGTAGATGAAACTTTGGTAGTGTACATGGTTAGTATCTAAATTTTTATTTGGAATTATAGTTGTTTATGACTAGTGACTGGTACAAATGCATTTGACAAACTTTATATATATATATATATATATATATAGGTAGGATTTTCTTACACTGGTGTAAGTTTAAAAACTCTTTACTTGATCTGAGCATTTTATTTAACTTACATCTAATGGTTTTAATTTATTACTTCATTTACTATTAGATGTAAGTTAAATGAAAGACTCAGATATATTGTGCTGAATGTTCTGTTTTCATGTGTGATTGATGGGGTCTTAGATGAATGTTGTATCTCTCTACATGTTTACTTCTAATTATATGTAAATGTGCATTTAATCTTTTGGACGGTGTGATCTGAAGCTCTTTGATTTCCAATACATTATTTTCTTCATGCCTTGTAGTTTAAAAAAACTTGTCCTTTTTTTCAGAATTATTTTAGAATTCAGTTACTTATTTATTACTAATCAGAAGTTAATTGGTTAAGTGAGTTGCTTTAGTGAATGGGTGTTTCATTTTAGTGGTGTTAGAGCAGTTCCTTCCTTCAGGCCTAAGGGAAAGGCCTAATATGCTTGTTTTTGTGCTCATATGTTACTGTTTTCAAAGGAAGATGATGAGATTCATATATATATAGATAGATATAGATATAGATATATATTATTTTGTTGGGTTACACCTTGTGTGTTGGAAAGAATCAAAGAATAACTGATTTCATGGATGTAGGAATCTATGGCAGGCTGAAATTCTATTGGGTTGGGTGAGATGAGTGCCTTTAAGGCCCAACAAGGTTATGCTTAGGGAACAAGAACAATTTAGTACATTTTACTACCTGCATAAATTGTTATTTATATGGAAAATAAAATGATCAACTTAAAATACTTGAGAAAAAATATTTTTATTTGTCTAATATTATTCTCGTCTCTGAATTTATTTTTCTCAATTTCTGTTGAGTCTCTAGCAATAAATTCTGTTCTGGCTCACAACACTAAACAAACAGTATATTACACGCAAAAAACAAAATTGTCAGTTCTTAAAACAAATGTGACTATAAAATGCTAAAAATTACCCTAATCAACTCAAAAGAAGCACATTCAAATTTATTTTATCCTACCTTTTTTTTATCTAAAATTCCAAAACCATTTATCAACATTTTACAGTTTTGGCAAAATTGCGAAAATGAGGGTGTTACACATTACTCTCAGCATCTTGGGAAGATCTCACTTTCTAGTAGCAATTCCTATGCCAGTCTATTTGTCTTCTTATTTTTTTCCTATGGATTTGCTTCGTTTCATCAGGAGTTATAGCCCTCGTGGGAGAAGATCTCCAAGACGATGTAGCATATCACCTCTGCACCGTGGACGAAGCTACAGCAGGTCCCCCCCATACCGTCATTCTCGTCGTGATTCACCTTATTCAAATGGGTAGGTCTATGTTCCGCTCAGTTCTTTACAATTTGAGTGAAAACAATGACATCAAAACTTAGTACTCACATTAATTTTAATTCATATGATTTCTGGTTTCAGAGATTAAGCTCAGAATGTGAATGGAGCAAGTGCTGAATAATTGCTAGGGAGCCCTCTCTGCTATAGTGTAGTTCCTCTAGGATTGGTTGAGCATACCAGACATGTTAGTTATGTTGATGTCATGAGAATGGGTATTGTTAGAAACTTGGCTTTTGATGAAACCTGCAAAGTGTTGTAGCCGCCAAAAGGGTGGATTGGACACTGTTTTGCGTCGGCTGTCTCTCTTCAGCTTACTGAAACCCTGAAGGTTGCTTCAGTCTTCCCTACTTATATAGCAAGTTATGTTAATTGTTTGTTTTAGTCTTACTAGTCCACTATGGTAATTCTGATATATTTGCATTAAATGTGCCTAAAATGTTTATGTTTCTTTGTTTTGAGGTGTGATTATCGGCCAAAACAGCATTGTTTCGCCACTTACATCTTGTCTGCTTCTCTGCTGCATGCCCCACAATCGTCTCATCTTGTTGCTTCTGCATATAAGTTGACTAAAAGTGCGATGTCAGCAAGTTGGTTGAGTATGACCTTTTTGTTAACTGTTCAAGAATGGAATGATACAGATGCATCCTCCTTTTGAATTGGAGAAGTCTAAAGCGGATGGATAGAAAGTAGTCATTGACTTGGTGCATCTTCATGAAATTGAGTCAAATTGGGTTTCTAGTGAGTAGCTGCGTATAGTGTTGTGTGTAGTTAAATTGATGGTTGCTGCTTCTAAATGTCTGCTTCTCGATTAGGATGTTTCTTGTTTCATCTATGGTCTGTGTGGTATATGCCTGCTGATTGTGATTGTGTAGGACACCATTTTCGGTATTCTCCTTTGGCAAATCACCTGTTGGTTATCCAGCAATGGATACACAAGAACTTGCATGATCTATGAGGAATGGCATCAGAGTGATTCCATTTAACTATCCGAGTGTGCACTCGCCAAATGTCATCTGTTCTCTGCATTCTGCCATTTGATCTGTGTCAGCTTCCTTACTCGGCCGATTAGCTTTTGTATGCTTCTGCATGGAACTGTGTCTGTCATCTTCAGCTACCAGGATCAGTATCACCAATTGTTTCCCATCTGCAGTTTTGCATCACTCCAAATATTGTCCGTTCTTAATCAAGTGTAGTACGTTCGGTTGATTGACGGCATTGCATTGATTGCATTAGATGTTTGACTGAGTAATTATGTCGCTTTCCCCCCTTTATATAGGATGTGGGGTTGATGTTGCCACTGAAATTCAGTGTCATACGTGCCTTAATTTTCTCTGGCATTAATTATTTTGCAATATATATTAAGATTAGTTTATTTTAATTCTGGCAATAATGCTTTTTAAGGATTGAGTACTGGCCTTTTGATGTTAAAACAAGACTTGTATGGATTAACTATAGCCATTCGAAAGAGTCAAAAAGGGAATTTCGTTCTTTATGTTTTCGAATCTTGATTTATCGTTTTACATTTCGCTTGATGTGAGGCCACCTGCTGTGCACAGGTGGGTGCAGTTAGAATCGTTTTCAACCAAGAGGGTAAAGGGTGATATGATTGTCAAATTACTGTTGTGACGACTATCGAAAACGGCGTCTATTGTATTTTTTAGGTGTGGCTCATTGTGACCAGTAAACGTCTAGTTGAGTGTGTTTTTTTGGAATCAGGTTTGTGTTTATGTCAATTTTATCGCTATAAAGCTGTTTAATGCAAATATTGTGTTAGAGATGACGTGCGCTAGATTGATTTGTAACCTATGTGAAATGTTGTGTTGCAATTTAGAGTTTGAAAAATAAATGACGGCATTCAGATCGGAATGGGATGAATGATAAATGTGTTCCCACGAATAAGTGAAGTGATTTTCTCTCTGAATTATACTTTAAATTCCCTGGTGTTAAACGGCATAGATTGTTTGTGCTTGGAGAAAATGAAATAATGAAGGGAAACTAGATTGGGTTTTGCGTTTAACTTTCTCAGCTGTATTCTTATTTTTTTAGTAACTTGTAAGGATTAAAAAGGAGGTGAGCAAGGGGTTTCAAATCTATTCTTTTATTTTTGTGTACTCGCAATGTGAAGGGATTTGGAAGGAGAAAGAAAAATTAAAAATTCGTAGATTACGTTAATTAAATCGGTCTTATTTTGAATACGTGATTTTAAGATTTTTATTTGATTGTTATATGCGTATAATTTAATGATACATTTTTCTTTCCTTTTGTATGTGAAATGAGGTATATCTTTTCCATTTCTTCTTTCTCTTTTACTAAAACTTCTAAAATCCTTCCATTTCCTTCCTTTGAATTTGAATCAAATAACACAAGATTTTTGAAGATCCAACTTTTTGACCAATGCTTAAATTTAGAGTTTTATAAATTAGTTACTATTAATTGACTTAGAATATGATTTTAGAATAAATTGTCAATTTTATTAACCATGTCTAAAACTGTTTGCATTTTATATTTAATGTTGTTCTAATGTTGCTTGTATTTTGTAAAAAATTAAACCATTTAATTTGAAAGTACTACTAATAGTCGTAATTGTCATGCTAGAAAATTCAACAAATAACATGATTATTGGCTCTTTATAAATGAATGGGTGGTTCCTTTATTTTTACCTTATTAAGAAACCGTACTTATAACTCTTTGAAGGCTGTTTATTGTTTCTCTTTATTTTCCTTAGCAATGTTGGCGGATAAGACCAATATGGAAGTGTTCATGTTCCGTCCCTACTTGTACACCAGTTGTTCAGATCAAGGTTGAAATTAGGGATATTCATTCGGTTAGTTTGATTAAAAAAAATAAATTAGTCAATTCAAATTATAACAGGTTGAGTTGAGTTAAGTTTTTATCACTTTTTATGTGACCCAAGGATCCTCGCCAAGAATAGATTCAAGTTGAGTAATTGGGTGGATAGATTATATATATATATATATATATATTAATTATATGTACCAAATATGAAGTTAGGCTAACATAAGTCATTAAAGCAAGTGATATATATGTAAACGAGTCTTTTTTTTATATTGTAAACGAGCTTTTTTAAATCGTTATATGTATTTTAAAAAATATAAACGATTCATATCTTTAATATGTAACTTAATAATATTAATTTTTATATATTTATCATTTAATTTTTTATAAATATTTATAAAATTACTCTTTTGAACTTTCAAAACTTGTTATTTTATATTTTTAAAATTTGACAACATGCATTATAACACTTATATTTTTTAACATGCATTATAATATTTCGAGTGAGATATTTTCGTTTAAGCAAGATTAGTTATTTTGGATCACGCATTTTAGAGCATTCCATTCAGGCGAGATGAGTCTAATTCAGGCGAGAATAAGTAAGATCAGTCAAGTTATCCTTTTGCCTAAGCGAAAAGTTTCTTGTTCAAGCAAGAAGGCATAGTAAAAATAGGAGCTCTCTGGACTCACAAGTCATGCTCAAGCAAGCCTGTCTTACTCAGGCAAGAGTGATCTCATTTAGGCAAGAAAGTGTTTTGCTTAGGTGAGATTATTAGTAAAATATAAAATTTTTTGTCTGGTATTCTCATTCAGACGAGAATGACATAGGTTAGGTGAGAATGGTTTCGCTTAAGTGAGAATGGTCTCGCTCAAGTGAGAAGTTATGGCTAAAAAGGGTATAAAAGGTAATCCAGTGTTTTGAACTTGCATTATAAGTCAAGCAAATATTTCTCATCTCACTCTTTGTTCTCTCACTTCATCTCCACAGCTAGGTCACCTTGAGAACTCTAAACTTTTCTCAATTCGAGCTTAGACATATTTCTCACTTGATTCTAAGTAAGTTTCTTAAAATTTAATTTTTCAATCTCACTTCTATTTTTCCATTTTCTCCCTTTTCAAAAATAATTCACTTCGTAATATATAAGAAGAACTTGGTCTTTCGATGATATCTTTCACAAACTCTTCACAAATCACCTATTTGAGGTAAGGAGAGCTCTATCTCATTATTAAAACGTTGTATGTATTTGTGCTCATGAAAGTGTAATAATGTGTTTCTTTATTTCATAAATATATGTTTAAATTAGAGTTTTGCTATTTGTTAAGAGTTGATGATGCATGTTTGGCTAATCTTATATGACTAAAATGTATTTTTCTTAAAAAAGAATGCATGATTTGGATTGAGTCTAGATATGTCTAACCTTAGGCACGATTTGTTTAACTGAATGATGAGAAATGAATGGAAGAAAGTGTATTATCAGTGAATGTGATAAAAGAAATTAGTGTAAATGGTTACAGAGATATACTAGGATTATAGAGTTTAGAAACGATTTTAAAAATATAGGCGAAATAAGGGTTGTGAATGCTATTCATAGTGGTTGCGCATAAAGCAAAAGCATCACATGCCTCATATTCGTTTCTCAACTAGGCTCCTGACTATACTTTTGCTAAAAAGTCTAGTATTGCATATGTTGTATCTATGTGCTTGGGCTAATTGATGACTATTCACCTATATGTGTAAAATCTCATGGAATGCAAGAGGCAATGTTTAACTGTGATCACATTGCTTGAGGAAGTGCTAATACGAGAAAGTGATAGATTGCATTATATAATTAATGTACATGGATTATGGTATTACTGATGTGTTTATTATTGTGTTTGATGCTGTAAAAGTTCAAATTTTTTATTTTGATTATAGTTTAGTAGTGAGGAGAAGATTCATTCTTACTATTTTCAGGAAATAAGGATGACCACCTCTTAGAGACCTATTAGGCTAACTAAGTGGACTATAGAAAGTATATTAGATTATGTATTTAGGGAATAATAGAGAGTCTGCCATATTAAATTTGTAGTAGCGAGTGAGAATGGGTCTAATGAAATTTTTGCCTTTGAAATCACCGTAGAGTATAATGTTTCTTTTGACTACTCTACTAGTGACAAAATACATTACACCCTGAGCTCGTATATATATAGAGGAACGATTAAGACATCAGTTGTAGTAAATTATGTATATACTTTTCATGATCATGACTACCTTGAAAGACTAGTCCATTTCCCTCAACAACATATAATTGACACAAAGGTCATTGCAGATAGTGGAAATTTCTATGAGGAGAACTTGACACTGGAAGAAATGAAACAAATAGAGGGTTGGTTTGATGAAAATTAGGATCATAGTCTTAGGATTTTTGGTGTGGGAGTGATCTGACTTAATATATTTTGATTTTGTAATTATGTAAATTAAGTCCTAATATATTTTTAGGTTATGATTTGTAAATATTAAACTTTTATATTTTGAATGATATTCTATGCATATATTTTCCTACTATTCCAATGTAATTTATTTAGCAAGTTATCACGTGTTAGTAAATATTTACTTATATTTATCTTTTATCATTTGAATATCGTTGAATTTTTCATGAATTGAATAATATAAGTGAAAGCTTTAAAATTTTCGTTGAAATTTCTATATCATAATTGTAAAAAATTCATTTAAATGTTTAAATTCGTTATGATTTATGAATAAATGAATAATAAATTAAAAACGTTGTACATGCATCACTTATATGTATCTTGTATTTAGGTGGTAATTTTAATAATGTGTGCATTCATATGCATTAATCCAGTTTCAATTTATAATCAAAAACAACTTTTAAATTAATAGAATGCTGAATGTTATTTTAAATCTTTAGAGTTTTCCACAAATTTTACGTATGGAGTTAATGGTTTTAGAATTAAAAATTTTACATCCACTCTCACTCTTAATCTTAATTCATCATAAAAATGAGCTTCATATTGATAGATATATTGATAGATTGTTTAATACTTTTTTATATCTTCCTTATGCTCTCCCTGCACAATGATCGCTTTTGCATCACACAATTTCTGCAATTTTTACTTAAGCCATTTTTTGCTAGTTTAAGCAAAAATTACAGGAGAAAAATGGCTAACTAGAATTATTTCGCTTAATATTTGGCTTAAGCCAATGTTGATAAAATATTTAGGTTCGTCACTATCTATAATTCGCTTAAGCTAATTTATATTGACTGAAGTGAATTTTGACAAAATTTGTTAGTTTATCACTGTTTATAATTGGCTTAAGCAAATAATATGTGTTTTAAGCAAAAATTACAACGAATGAATTTTATTTTATTTTATCGTTCAACCATTTTTCTTTAGTTATTACTCCTATTCTGATTACACTAAAATGTTAATTTCTAAGACAATTGGGATGAGTATATGATGTTTTTAAATTTAATTGGTTTCACTTACAAATACTACACTTCAAAGTACGACAATGCAAAGAGAGTATGATATTTAAGTTTAGGGTAGATTTGAGAAATATATTTGCATGCTATTAAGGAGGAGAAATAAGGAGGAATTGAAGTAGGACAAGTGAAAATTGAATAAAACTTCTACGACAATATTTCAACGGATGATTACTTGATTCCATTTGATCTCTTACGTTGGATATCTTAAAGTTGCTTCAGAAAAAAAGATGGAAGTGAGTTTGAGAGAATATGGTTGAGTTTTGCATAAATGAACAATCATGTTCTTAAAAGATAGTTGCCTTCCAAAAAATATTTTAAAGAACATGTTTTAAATATTTAAGAGAATGAGATCCTAAATTTACAAAATTTATTAAGGATTAAATTATAAATATTGTAACTTTTAAAATCTATTATAATAAGTCATTTTACTTACTTATTCATGAGTCATTCACTACACTAACTCATTGTACCCTTTACCCAAAATATGGTGTTATAAAAAAATTATAAAAAATGCAAAGATTCAGAGATAAAACAATGAAAAATAAAATTTCAAAATCACCA